CGCAACGGCCATATTTATGACCCCCAGCCAGCTTTCTTGCAACAGTTTACGGTTATTAAATTTCTTGTCTCTGCTCTCCACCAGGAGGCCACTGGCCGCCATCCTCCATCCGCCATCCTCCATTCGCCATCCGCTATACGCTATACGCTAGCGTCATCAATTCAGTGCAGCAATCTGGCCGTTGCAATCGTATCGGGTTGCCAGTAAATTGCTGTTTCGATTGTTGCGATTTCGTTACACTATCTGTTGATATTTTATCTCTTTGTAAAAATTGTTAATGACTCGGAAAATTTCATTGTTGATTATGAAAATATCGGTATCAAAATATCACTATCCAATGAAATGCATACCCAGTAAGCCAAGGAATAAAAATATGCTTTTAACTTGTAAGTGAGTTGACTTGAATTCTTTCAGTTTATTAAAAAAAAATAATTGTTTTCTCATTTAAAAGATCGCTTTGACGGTTTTTAAAGTAACAATAAATACCAACTCTCAATGCAATAAAGTCAATGTGCAATTTGAATTTCCAGTATATTGCTGTTTCGAGATTTTATCTCTTTTTGTACAAATTTTTAATGACTGGCAAAATCTCATTGTTGATTATGAAAATATCGGAATCCAAATATCACTATCTAAAGAAATCTATACACATACCTTAAAATCAACTTGGTTATGATCGCTTTTTACGGGTTTTAAAAAAACATTAAATGCCCCCCTTAATGCAATTAAATCATTAATGCAATTTGCATTGCCAGTTAATTGCTGTATCGATTATTGCGATTCTGTTACACTATCTGTTGATATTATATCTCTTTTTAAAAGGTGTTAATGACTCGAAAACCTTATTATCGAGTATGAAAATATCAATATCAAAATATCACTATACAATGATATGTATATATGTATAGGTTGCTATGAATCAAAAGATCGCTTTGGCGGTTTTTAAAATAACAATAAATACCACCTCTTAACGCTTGCAGCTAGCAATAAAATCAATGTGCAATTTGCGTTTTTAAAACTGATTCCCATGTACAATAAACCTGTTTCATTAATTGGAAGTTCAAATCAAATACCGGAATCAGATTATGCAAAATAAACGGTAAATACAATTTGTTTTAAATTATATTATTGTTTACCACAAATGGTAAAATATATTGTTTTTTATTGTAAAGTTAAGCGATGATTCTGATCAACTTACAAAATAAAAAACTGCCTTGTGCTTTTTGGCAACTACTTTCTATAAGTATTGCGACCAAGGTGAACTGCCACGTTCCTGAAATTGTTGTTTCGCCGGATATTAAACAAAATCAGGTTGTGAAAATTGTTGAAAGATTGGTTTTAAATTATTTTTGAATCTTTTAGTGGAAAGAGAAAGGTTGTGAAGGGTATTCGTTGCTTCGATTCAACAAGCCTTGTACTTTTCCATCTTGTTTGTCCGATTGTTGTTTTAATTTTTATATCTCTTGGCATTTGGTTTTTCTTACCAATAATAATCGCTTGCACATTGAGTGCAAATTAACTCAATTTCCCTGGCGTGTTTGATGGTTTCTTTTGTTTAACCTTCCTTCAACACCATTTCTCCAGCTTGGAGAAACTAGGAAGAGAAAGGGCAGCAGAGGCAATGCCAACGATTGTCTGTGCCAAGACTCGAGTGAGAGGGAAACGAATAAAACGTACAACAAATACCACCACCACTACCATCACCATCACCAGGCCAAGACAAATCGGACCTCGGGGCACCGGATTGCAATGGATTCGAATCGAATCATTACTGCTCCGCTCTGGCTGGAACGACGCTTATCTTGAACCTAATCTTTCAATTGTGTGGCTTTTCTGGGTTATTTGTCCACTTTGGATTACTGCAGTTTCGCAAGACAAATAAGAATAGTTCGTTATGTCATTGGTGGAACTTTGCGAGTATAACATATGTTTGCATTTATGTCTCCCTTTGATACTTGTTTCAAACTAATGAAAAGCCACAAAAGCACTTACACTTTGTTTGACTATAGAAAACACTTTGTTTGTGTCGCCTATAAAAAGCGATTATGCCAGCGACAATAATTAGCTGTCAATCAATGCTGACAATGCATATAAAGAGGCCTTTCAAAACTTATATGAACATGTGTCTTAAAAATCTTTTACAAATTTCGAAATATTTTGCCGTGTGCATTAACCGTTATTTGTGTTTTATTTTCTCTTCTTTTTTTTTCATACCAGCCATCATATAAATCACTGAAAATATTTTTTAAATTTTGATGCTACTTTTGATTATTATTTATTGAGTTCCACCCATTTAATTTGCATTTTGTACTTGTGATAGTCGCAAAACAGCGTGCTGCTTTCTCTTTCCGTTGTATTTGGTCTAAGAGGAGATGTACAAACATTTAAATAATAATATTATATTTTTATTATACATGTCATTCCCACTTTATAGCGTATAAACAGTAAACAGTCAACTGCGAAAAAAACTGCCGACGGCATTTTGCACATTTTTTCTCAAGCTGGGGACAATATGGCTTATTATCTGCGTGAAATACTGATCATTAAAATGTTTTACGAATAACAATCAATTATACGAATTATACGATTAAAATCTTTGGAATCTAACATGTAGTTCGATGACCACTCATGGCTTTGCTATATATAAATACTTATTTTTTGTCGACCATTTTGAATTTTTTTTTATTAAACTCTTGGATGACACGGACAAATCTTATTTTTACCGCCCGCTTGATTGGCTATAACCAACTTTATTGCAAGGCTTGTGTACTCATCTTATTACCAAATCGTTAGCATCTGGCAGTGTAAATGTGAATTCAGCTCCGTGTGTTTATTTATTTATTGGTTCGAACTCGAAGTCACCAAAAAGCTTTCCACTTCAATTGATATTTTTATTAGGCAACAACAATGCCCCATGTAAGCGATTATAATAATTTCAGTGTATTCAACACATTTGCCCCTATTTTATGCGTCGGTACACTCGGTCACACATGCACATTTATCTACATATATCCGCTTGATCCAGCCGGACGGCATTTACTTGGATTGTCATTTACACTTGATGGCGATGGTGGTCCGTTGCGCCGTCTGTTCTTCTTTTTGCTTCGATAGCCAGACTGCTGTTTTTTTTTTTTTTTTTTTTGCCGAGCTTTTCGCTTCCTTTTTTATTATTTGGTTTTTTCGGGTTTTCGACCAGTGTTCAGTGTTCAGTGTTCGCCCCATCATTCCATCCTCTCATCGCCTGGTTATGCATTGTCGGGCGGCATCTGCATTCGAAATCGTTCAAATTTCCTACCCGTACCGTTCCGTTCCGGACTCTTTTTCGCCGAGCTCTGCATAAATTGTGGCCGGTCGGTCTCTGGTACGGTTTTATGTCATTTTCGGAACTGTATTGCCATTGCCATTACCATAGCCTAAGCACATATCTCCAAAAACAAATCACATTGTCAGTTGTTTTTGGTGGTAACCAGCTCTTTTCCTTTTTTTTTTTTTTTTTTTTTTATACGCCTTTCGGTAGCGTATGTTCGAAATTGTATCAGCATTCTTTGCTCTGTTTTACCACTTTGTTCCTTTCACCTTAAGTAAACGTATTTTTTCCCCTTTTCTTTTCTTTTCTTTTCTTTTTTTTTTTTCGAAAAAAGATCTTGAACTTGATAATTGATTTTGTGCTACTCATGCACCTTAATTAATATTTGCTTTAAAGCAATCATACTGCAATTATTGCATTCAGTTCGTAGACATGTAGCGTGTGGATATAGTATTTCATCATTATGGGGGGAGGCCAGGCCGCATAAATGTGTAAAAATATCCACCGCGTTGGCGATTAGGAAATTTTAATTAACATGCTCTTTTCTACAACGATATTAGCCGTATGCCTGTTGGCACTATGATTTTTTGAGTCTGCCCGCCATGCGTCTTCAATGAAACCACTCAATTGGAAAACAAAAGCAAATTATTTGCTCCAAATCGCAGCAGAAACGAAAATGAAAACGAAGGTGCTTTTTTTTCTGTTTTTTTTGTTTTTTGGTGCTTGTGTGGCGTTGGAATTTTTGCCAGTCGAATGCCCAGATCCGAACCGATCCAATCCATTCCGACCCGATCCGATCCGCCTTCGCCTTCGCCACCTGTGCAGTTTGGGGACTTCGAGCTAACGGCCAGCTGCCCATAAATCATTAAGAGCTGGCTCTGGGCCTGGCTTGCCGTTCAAATCGAAAGATTTCTGACTTCGCCCATTCAACGTTCAATGTCAGTTAATTAATTAATTCATAATTTGGTCGCGAGCGAGCGAAAAAGTGAAAGAAAGAGGGAGGGTACGAGCAGGAAATTAGTTGGATAGATATTGAATGCCCTGGTTGAATTTGCCATTTTATCATATGAATCACATTTGGGCGTCGAGCTAAGTTTATGTATAGTCAAATATTAAACAGCATATTTGCATGCAACACTTGCTTGATATTGGCAAATAAATTTTGGAGAAGTTAATGTCACATAGCATTTAAAACTTGGGGGTCTTGATATAATGTATCTATAAATAGAAGGGGGTATCTTATGGTACATTTTATGACTTGAATTGAGAAATATGTTCAGCCTTAAAATTCGTTATTTATTATGTAAAAACTAATGCCTTGGTCTCAATTAAATTACTAATAGCATTGCATGCATTGCATTGTGCAATAAAAGCATTGGCTAATAAACACTTAAAATGGCTTATTTGGCTAAAAGTTAAGTTTTTTTAAAGGAATATTCAATAATTTGGGTTTGAACGAAAAACTTTCTTTGTATATATTAAGTTTAGAAACTACATTTGATGTATAAATATTTATATATAGAGATTGACTAGACTTTCAATAGTTCACCAAATGGCATACATTCGCTTGGGAATTTTTTGCCAGTGAAAGCAAAGGCTGCAAATCATGCACCCACAATGACAATTTAAATGCCAACAATGATTTATTTCACGAATCGAATATTTATTTTTTTCCTCTCTTTTTCGCTTTCAGATAAATCGCGACGATGGACTGCCGCAAGAAATCTGCCGGCAGTGCATGGCCCAGTTTTTGATGGTGGCCAAGTTCCGGCGGAAATGTGCACGGATGCAGCAGCGCCTGCAGGACTTTGCCCAGGAGATATCCGACCGTCAGACGGCCAGACAGGCCAGGCGTCAGCAAAAAGTGCACAAGGAGCGTCTGGATAGGAGGTCGGAGGCCATCCAGAAGTGTCCCGAGAATTTGCCAGCGTCCCAAACGGACCGAAAACGTCGCATGGTGTCAGAATCGGACAGCGAATCGGCAGCAGCAGCAGCAGTGGCAGTAAAACAGGTGCGCACGGAATCGAAGGACTTGCCGCCCCCCAGCTCGAGTCGCCTGCAACTCCGTCTGCGCAAGCTTCGCACCTTCTCCATCGGCTGCGAAATGGACCGTCCATCCGCCTCCATCGATGCCAGCAGCATGCCCTGGAAGACGAAGGCCGCCCGCAAGCAGCTGGCGGAGACGTGGTCATCTAGCTGCTCCCCGGACGACCTCTCATCGCCCAGTCGCGAGCGCTCCAGCACCAGCAGTAGTGAACACATGAGCGACCTGTCCGTTGGGCCATGTTGTGGCTTCGAGAGCGACAGCAATCCCTCCTCAACCGCCGCTAAGCCCAAGTCGCCAGTGTCGCTGAAGGCATCGCCAGTGAATGATTTGCTGCCGCGTAGGGGTCGCCGTCCCAGGAATTCACCTATTTACATGCCGGCCAAAAGACAGCGGCGATCGGTGGTCAAGAAAGAGAAGGATAAACCGAAGGTTGACGCTGAACCACTCACCGTAGAGAAAACAAAGTCTGATCATAGGGGCATCTTTCCGCCGGAACCAAAGGTCGAGAGCCGTGCTCCATCCTGCGATGAGGCAATCGACAGCACTTCAGATGTGCCAAAGGAAGCACCTTCGAATGTAGTACTTAACGAAAAGGAGAACGAAATCACTTCAAATGGTTTGACTGAAAGTTGCGATAGGGTCAACGCCATACAAGTGGAGTCAGATAACAAAAATACAGCCTCCAAAAGCCTGGAGAAAAATGTGTCCAATGAAGTCGTAGGAGAACAGCAAAATGCCAAAACAGAAGAGGCCAAAAATGGCATCAGCGATAATGGGGAAATAAATTCTATAAAGCAGCCCGAAAACTCAAAAACAACAAGTGAAAGCGAAGAAACAATTGCACAAGAAAATTCTTCACATGATATTTCTGCCGAAAAAGATAAACAATTAAATGAAAGTGATCCCCTGCAGTCAGAGGAACTTACTTCATCCACAGAACCCAGTGAGACGCCAGCCGAAGCTGTTGACCAGCCGGAAACTGTGGAGCCGCTGGAAACTGTGAAGCAACAGGAATCCGCTGGACAAACAGAAGCGACGGAGAAACAACTGAAATCGGTCGATGTTGAGCATTCGGAAAGTGTGGACCAAGCAGAGCAGCAGGAGATGATAGTGAGCATACCGCTGGAGGCGCTCAATGAGGATCTGCAGCGCCGCCTGTGCGTGGAGGAGGCGGTAAACCGCGACATTGCGACGCCCAAGGAGCTGCCCCTGCAGCCCGACGATGTGAACAACAATGCAAACGATGAAAATTTTTGCCAGAGTGCTACAGCAGATAGCTTCAATGCTGCTGTGGCACTCCGAACCAATGAAATTGAAGCCACACCAACGGAAGCAGAAGAAGAAGAGGCCTCAAGTGGGGCCGATTCCTCGCCAGACGAATCGGACATGGATGAGGTGCAGCCGGTGCGTTCGGGACCCACGCCCATGGACTTTATGGCCGAGTTTGCCAAGCACTGTGAGAACGGCATTGAGCAGCTTAAGGTCACCACACCGGCTCCATCGCCCCTGCCCTTTGACGATCTGGAGGCCAAGCAGAAGCTGGAGGTGGAGATGAACGACGTGGAGACCACTCTCAATGGCATTCTCAACGAGATGCAGGACCAGCACATGTATACCCCGAATTGTGCCCACATTGATGAGTTCCTTACTCCCGCCGACTATGCTCCGATGACTGAACAGGAATCCTCCGTCCCATCGCCGCCCAATCCCTTCGAGCAGAGTCCAGTGGCTGAGCCGGAGCCCAAGCCCTCGGCCACCGACGATCCCTTCGACAACAGCAACTTTAGCAACGAACTCATTGGCTTCCAGAACGATATTCCCTGCTTTGAGAATATTGAAGCCACTTCGGAACCGGGACAGACTTTGCATCTGGAGCTCACTCAGTTGCTGAGGGATCTACAGCCGGCGCAGGAGGCTCAGCCGCAGGAGCAGCAAAGCAGCCAGACCCAGGACCAAGTCGTCGTCCAGGCAGAGACCCAAGTGCAGGCACAAAATGAATCTGAAGACCCCTCTCCGCATGAGTCACGCATGCCGACTCCCATATCATCCCCTCAAGCGCAGATGGAATCCGAAATCGAGACGCAGATGCAACACGAAGCCCTAACAGTGCCGAATCCACCAAATCAGCCTCAAGTACAATCTCATGACCAATCTCAGATGCAATCTCAGATGCTAGACCAAATCCCACCGCAAATGCAGCCACAGATTCAAGGCCAAGTCCAAGAGCACCAAACCATACAGATTGTGCAACCGCAAGTGCATCCCCAACTGCAGCTTCAATCGCAGGTGGTTCCCCATGTCCAGCGGCAGGGCACAACCACCACAGTCACCTACGAGCAGATCTATCAGCAGCACATTGTCCAGCAGACGGTGCAGCAGTCCTCCAACAAGATGCAGGTCATCTCGTTGCCCTCGACTGGATCGGAAACGCGACAATGGCAGTCGTCCACACAGCAGTCGACGCAGCAGCAGCAACAGCTCCAGTGGTCGTCGGTGGGCGGTCTGGAGGCCATTAAAAGTGCGCCCGTTGAGAGTGTGGCACCCACTACCACCACGTACTACATCAGTGCCAGCGATCTGTATCCACAGCAGACCACTGAAACCTACACCATGCTCCAGCCGGCATCCAATGAAAGCTATATGCTTGAGCCGGTGAATCCGCAGCAACAGCAGCAGCATCAGCAACGCCAGCGACAGCTTCAGCTTCAGCATGCCCAGCAGGTTCAGCGTGCCCAGCAGCAACACCAGCAGGCGCAGCAGCAACCGATTATGATACTTATCCAGCAGCCAGAGATGCAGCCGGTGGCCTCGGCCAGCAATCCGCAGCAGGCACCGGTCCATGTCTACGGCGCTACTATCAGCAACAATTTGCACCATCAGAACAGCCAGCGTCAGCAGGTGCGACAGCAATACCAGCGGCATCAGTTCCAGCAGAGCCAGCCACAGCAGCAGCAGCAGCAACACCGCCTCGTTCAAAGCCATCCAGTATTGGGAATGCCGGGAGCCACGTCCATATCGACCAAAGTGACACCCATTCCCGCCACCACGCCCAAGGGTCGGGCGCTGACGCTCAAGTGCCGCTTCTGCCAGAACGGACCGCGCTTTTCCAGCAGCCTGGAGTACAGCCGGCACATCATCGATTTGCATCCGGCGGTGGCGCCGTTCAACTGCCCGCACTGCCCGATGGCGTTTGCCGGGAGGAGCAAGCGTTCGCAGCACATTCTCAGCCATCATGTGGTGCAGCAGTACCAGTGCGGCCAGTGCACGCAAGTGTTCCCCGCCCAAAAGGCACTGGACATGCACATTCAGCGCTTCCACATGACATTGCAAACGGTGGATACGGTGAAAGTGGAGGAGGTTCAGCTGCAGATAATGAACGAACGGAAGCAGCGGCCTAGGCAATATAAGCCACGGCTGCAATATCAGCAGCAGCAATTGCAACCACTGCTGCAGCAGCAGCAACAGCAGCAGCAAGAGCAACAGCAACAACAGCAGCAAGAGCAACAGCAACAACAGCAGCAACAGCAGCAGCAGCAGCAACAACAGCAGCAACAACAACAGCAGACACAACAGCAGCAACAACAACAGCAGCAGCAGCAACAACAGCAGCAGCCGCAGCAACAACAACCACAGCCCGTGCAGCAAATCCATCAACCGCAACAACAGCAACAGCAGCAACATGCGCTGCAAATGCAACAGCCACAACAACAGCCACAACAACAGCCACAACAACAACCACAACAACAGCAACCGTTAATGCAGCCCCAGTCACCGCATCCATCAAGTGAGTTTCTATTATTTCTTATACTTTCACCCAAACAATGTCTTATTAAACCATAATCTTATCTTTAGCAATGGAAATTCAAGCCAGCACAACAACACCACGAAAGATTCTCTGCTGTCCGGATTGCGAAGACTGTAAGTTAAATGGGATAATGAAAATAATGGAATAATCGCTTAGCCGCTCTCAAGTTTAATAGCCAGCCACTTAGTGGTTAAAAACCTGTGGATGGATGAAAAAAAAAAGAGCAGCCAAGCGTTTTACGCGCTCTAAATTGGTTCCGATCTAAGACTTTTCCTTTTTCCCGTTTGTAGGCACATCCGGTCACAGCCATGGCAACGTGCAGTTCGAGGAGCTACCGCCGACACTGCCGGCTCCGGCAACGGTGCTCACTCCCCCCTCGACCATCGTCTCGGCTCCGTCGCCCCAACCCATGGTGTATTCGCAGCACATAACAATGCCATCGCCGGAACAATCCGAGCCAGATTCCACGACCACGTTGCGACAGTTCCGCAAGCGTGGCGTGATCGTTGGGCCACAGGGTCCGCTGCATTTGGCCACACCAGTGGCCTCGCCCTCACCATCCTCGTCGCCGTCCTCGTCTACGGTGGATCATGCACCGCCAGCATCACCGGCGCCGCCCGCCTCCCCGGCGCCGCCCCCATCGCCCGCTCCGACCACGGGGCAGGCGGTGAGCGAGCTGCGGATGAGCCACCAGTGTCTGTACTGCGAGGAGCGGTTCACCAACGAGATCTCACTGAAGAAACACCATCAGCTGGTCCACGGAGCCCAGACAACGATGCCGTTTGTGTGCAACATCTGCAAGCGTGGCTATCGCATGCGAACGGCGCTGCATCGGCACATGGAGTCGCACGATGTGGAGGGGCGACCGTACGAGTGCAACATATGTCGCGTACGGTTCCCGCGACCCTCGCAGCTCACGCTGCACAAGATCACGGTGCACCTGCTTTCGAAACCGCACACCTGCGACGAGTGCGGCAAACAGTTTGGAACGGAGAGCGCCCTCAAGACGCACATCAAGTTTCACGGTGGTAAGTTTCGGGGGGCGAACGCCTTTGGAGGCGATGGACGGACTACTAGAAAGGGTTTATTTTCGGGTGATATACCTATACCTATACCTAGAGTTCAACTTACCATACTAATCCCCCCATTCATTTAGTCTTAGTGCTCTGTCGTAGTTTGAGTTATAAGCCTCTTACTAATCCTCCATCAATTGTTATCGTTGTTGTCATTGTTGTTGTGTCGGCAGTTTATTCAACCGTGGTTATATGTTCCAAAGGTATGACAACCATGACCGATTCGCTTTCGATTCGGGAATACCAATATCGATTAATGGTGTGGGTGTTCCCAATGCTGCTTGGCATGTGATAACACAGCTTGCGAACTTTGTAATTATGCTTTTAAGACAATAAGTTAACATAGAGTGTTATAAATATACTTGCATGCAGCTTGTCAGTGGATATAAAGCAGAGCACAAACGCTTGGTAGTTGTACACATTGTCGGCTGACTTGCAAGAATTGTATACAAGTTAATTACCCGACTTTGATTGCACTTTGATACTCGAGGGCTCTAGCTGAGCGTTCCTAATTATTGACAATTAGATGCCCTTTGTTATTAATCCGATGACCCGAACACTTATTTGTAATCATTTTGTAGAAATAGAAGTGCGTTTCGTAACACGTGGGAATTTCAATTTCAAAGAAAATGTCTAATTATATTATCATTGAATAAACATTTATGTATGAGCTGTTGCTGTATATTACTTGTTTTACTTTTGCTTAACCTCGGTAGAATTCAATGAAATTCCAGTTGCTGAAATAAAAACCTTTCCCTTAGTTTCGCAACGCACTTTCAACCCCAAATCAAATTTCACAATCAATGTTAAATGTTGGCTGGCCTGCTGCGCGATAGCGACATCCGTAGTTTAGCATATTCGCTTGCGATGAGTGTTTTTCGCTATCTGTGTTGGCTGTGTTGGCTCTGGCTCCCCTCAAGATCACAGTGTGAATCCTAATCGCCGAAACATCGAACCCGAATATGCAGCAAACAACAAAGGCCAACAACCAACCAAATTGTCTCTTCCAGCGCTCGGTTACCAGTGCGACTTGTGCGATCGGACATTCGAGTATCTCAAAGATTTGCGCAAACATCGACGCACCCACAGCGAGTTGTTGTTTTACAAATGCAAGTTTTGTCCAAGCTCCTTTTTGCGTTTCACCAGTTTTCAGGGTAACGTCTCTGCCACAAATGGTGTTGCTAACATTGTTTATTCGGTTTTTAAAAATAACTACATTTACTTCAAAGTTTTTGTTAAAAAAGCATAATTTTGATTGTTTAAATGGGTTATAATTTGTATTAAGCAACTTCAATAGAAGAGCAGAATAATTATCATTGAATTTTTTCATATATACTTGTTTAATATCTAGATAATAAGCAGCAAGCCATATAAATTATAATTAACACTTACTAGTTCTGTACAAGCAATAATATTTCTTTATATTTTCAATTAATTACTGATCAATTATCAAGTGTGTTTATGTTTCTTAGTTACTTACTAACATTTCATTTGTCTACAAAGTTAACAGCACTATCCATAATTGAATTAACTTTAATTATTAAAGTTAGTTGATCTAGATATACTTAAGTATAGATTCTTAATTGCCTGTTCTGTTGCATGGCTCCTATGATAAGATACACCCTAAGCTTTAGAATTAAACTTAAAACAGAGTGACTCATGTACTAATTAATTGTTTTCCACATTTTCTTTAGCACACATGAACTCGCATTTGCCACTGGGCGTATTTCTTAACGAGGAAGCCGCATCAAAGTCACCTAGCAACAACAATAGCAACACCGTCAGCGATAAGCTAGAGAATCCACCCACGCCCATCGAGGAGACACCTCTGACGCCGATGAGCAGCGGTGGACACGTGTACAACAGCCCCGATGAATACCCGAATTCGGTTGAAAGCTGTGCCGGCAGTAGCCTGGCTCTGGAATCAGTGGCCACAACGCCATAACCCAGGTGGCCGGATTATATTTTAGTCCTCGAAGCTTTAGTTATAAGTCACGACCAGCAACATAGCCAAATAACAGCGGCACCTTCCTATGCTATTACCATGTTCGGTGGTGTATAGCTTCCATTCTTCCCATTGGAGCCAACCAATAAATAGTTAATTATCGACCAGAACCAGCAGACTGCATTGAATGCAATCCCATATTGCACTTAAGATACCTAGTAACTAAGCCAAGGATACACTCCCTCAGACACAAACCTTAAGGCTAAACATAATTAGACAATAAGCTAGCTAGAATCTGGACATTCATGCAATGAAACCAATTGAAACAAATAAACAAAGGTTAGCTTTAGACCATGGACATACACATACACATACGCATACATATATATATATATATATATAGATATTGCTGATTTCCGTTCCCAGTTAAACTTATTGTTTTGAAGAGCGTTTAATGAAAATGTGAACAAAATAGTTCGATATCGACTAAGAACCTAAGACTAAGTAATCTACTAACAGCACTAAAAACCTTTAGTTACTACAATTTTGATATAGAATTTAAACACACAATTGAGACGTGAGAACCAGCTCAAATCGTTTTTAGTTCCATTTTGTTATAAGAAACAAGGCAGTTGAATAGCCTATACAAATATTTTCCTTTTATTTATAAATTATGTAATAAACAAATTATGCTCTTATTGCGATCCAACGATAACAAACATGTTTGCCATTTAATGCTAATGCCCCAAGTGGTGTACATACAGTTTGGGAGCTACTTAATCGTAATACCAGTCCAAGAAGAGCAATGAGAACGACATGACCAGCAGGAAGAAGAGTGACCACACCCGAAGGCCAGCATTCCTTTGAGTGGCCTGGCGGATTTGCTCGTTGGCATCCTTGACGTTCTCTGTGGTGCCTACGACGGCACTGACAATCCTGTCGATATTGTGCTGTTGCATGGCGACCTAAAAAGAGGGCAAAAAGAGGATTAGAGGTGATTAAGTGTGGTTGGAACTATTTGCTTAATTACCAATTAAATGAAAAATCGAAAGGACTTATCAGAGAGCTTAACCTTTTCCTTTTACAATAATAATCCCAGTTTACTGCAATTCCTTTGACTTATTAATCTAAAAATGGCCAATTAAAATGAAAGTTAAGCTTAACTTGAACTAGGTGATTTTTTTTTAATTATTGCAAATCCTTTTGACTTATAATCCTTTACAAAAGCCAATTAAAACGTATGGCGAGTTTGATTTGAGCTAGCACATATGGACAATGAGCTAGCTCAAATCAAACTCGCCATACGTTTTAATTGGATTTTTTAAAGATGATAAGTTCCTTTTATATAAAACTTGTTAATCTTAAAAGAACCAATGAAAACATATGGTGAGTTTGATTTGGAAAATCACCTATTGAAAAGGACTATTTGCTATTTGCATGGCGACCTAAATGGAGGGCAAAAAGAGGATTAGAGGTGATTAAGTGTGGTTGGAACTATTTGCTTAATTGCTAATTAAATAAAAAATCGAAAGGACTTATCAGAGAGCTTAACCTTTTCCTTTTACAAAAATAATACCAGTTTACTGCAATTCCTTTGACTTATTAATCTAAAAATGGCCAATTAAAATGAAAGTTAAGATTAACTTGAACTAGGTGATTTTTTTTAATTATTGCAAATCCTTTTGACTTATAATCCTTTACAAAAGCCAATTAAAACGTATGGCGAGTTTGATTTGAGCTAGCACATATGGACAATGAGCTAGCACATATGGACAATGTGCTAGCTCAAAAAAACTCGCCATACGTTTTAATTGGATTTTTTAAGGATGATAAGTTCCTTTTATATAAAACTTGTTAATCTTAAAAGAACAAATGAAAACATATGGTGAGTTTGATTTGGAAAATCACCTATTGAAAAGGACTATTTGATTACTAGGGTGCTCATTTAACTTGCTTAAAATCTATTTGACTTATTTATATTAAAAAAGCCAATTAAATATGTTGGGCGGGCTTAGTTTGAACAACAACATCTGGACAATGAATACTTCAAATGCTATTTTATATGTACAAGAAACCCATTTCACTTGTTAATCTTAACGAATCCAATTTAAGAGTAAGTGTTTTTTTCGCAATCAAAAAATTGTTACAAGGGTGTAGCAACAAGAGTATCATTCACTAACTGCTTATTGAGTTAGCCTTATTTGGTTTGTTACTATCTCACCTTCTCGGTGAAAATGTCCTGCAGCTGGGCAATGTCCACCACGTTCTTCTCAATCTGCTCCACCTCCTCGGAGACGCCCTGTAGGAAGTTATAGATGTGCACGTTCTCCGCCTCGAACAGTTGCACGTCCTCGGCACTCAATGGATCGTCGTCGTAGGGCTCCTGCTGCTTTTGGAGCTCCTCGTCCAGTGCCACCTTGGAGGATGAGTCGTTCAGGGCGGACCTATTGGGCTTGCTTCGCTTGCGCGTACGTGGTTTGTGCTGGCTGGCCTGTGCCGGCCCTGCTGCCTCCTCCTGCCCATCGTGGTCATCCGCTTCGGCTTCCTCCTCGTCATCATCCCATTCGCCCCAGCCATCGTTGCTCCAGTCGTTGTCGGCGGATTCATCCGCATGGCCATTTGCCGAGGGTGACGCTTCATTGGCATCGCCATCATCATTGCTGACCTGGCGCCTGCCCAACTTGCCACTTTGGCTGCCCGCTGGACGCACTGGTATCTTCTTCTTGTCCGCAGCCAGCTTGAGCAGTCTGTAGGTTTCCAGCTCGTGCTGCACCCTGTACTTCTTCTGGTCCAAATAGATCTGCTCTACGCTGTGCAGATAGCTGACCAGCAGGTCCAGCACGGCATCGATGTGCTGGCGCTCCTGTGGCTTCCGCTTGACGCCCTTCCAGTCGCTACGCATCTTGGCCAGATGTTGTGTGTAGAAGGTGACGAACTTCTCCGACTCCCGATCGATCAGATCCCGTTGGGCGTCGGTCATGTGGGCGGCGCTCTTCAGGTGCTGCCCGATGCGCATGTAGGCGGTCCGGTTCTCGATCAGCACATTGCGCAGGGCAGTGATCTTGTTGCACACCTCCTTGGCCTTCTTGGCGAAGTCATCCTTTGGGCCAGTTGCAGTTTTGCTGGGCGCTGGACCCGGTTTCACCTTGCCAGCCAGCTCAGTCTTCCTCTGGAGGCGCACCGTCATAACACTGGCCTTGAAGGTCTGGGTAATGTCCATTTCTATACGCTATCCCTAATTTTAAACAAATTTGTAACAATTTTAATTTTAAATCCACATCATCGGTCCAGCGCAGAGTGACCGTTTGTTAAATGCAGTGTGACCGTTAAAATATATACCACTCAGCTAAAGGAAAATACTAAAATGCATTTAGTTCATAGCCAAACTGAAAAATAGCTAGAAATAGCTTGTTTTATTTCGATGACGAAATGCTATCGACCAACTCTTCAGTGTTGCCAAGCCTCCGAAATAAACGACTGTTTAAATTAAAAATCGAACAAGCAATTTTAATGACTAGGGATTTATTGAAAATGTACAATGTATACATGGGTGTGCTTATCTGCCGTATGAATGTAAATTGATTTCCTTATTTTTTAATATTTATATGGTTATATTATTTTCATTTTGTGTTCTTTTTGATTTCTCCTTTTTTTTTTACAAATAATGCCCTGTGGATGCATGTAAAACAAATGAATTTCACATTAGTGGCACTTAAATAATAAGAACTTAACGTAAATTTTCTACACAGTTTTTTTTTTTTTGCGAAAAACAAAGCACAAGTGGTCAGACGAATTAGTTACATAATACATTACGCATAATAACAATATTAAAAATTAGGCATACACTTAGTTCACAGTATTTTGCACGATGGCTTGGGCGACGTCTTTGGTTTCCTGTCCACGGCCCGAACCGCCTCCTCGAAGACCTGCTGAAGGTTCTGTTTCTTCTTAGCCGAGCACTCGATTAGGTTTGCTGCATGAATCTCCTTGCGCAGTCGCTTGCCCTCCTGAAAATGTCCAAAAATGTTATCAACAAAATCATTTAAAAAACTTGAAATATATTATATGTACCTGTGTGGTCACAAACTTCTCCGAGTTGGGGATGCGCAAGTCCAGTTTTGTGCCCACCAGCACCACGGGCACGTGACTGGAGAAGTGACGGATCTCCGGCCACCACTTGCTCTTGATGTTCTCGAACGAGGTGCGACTGCTGATCGAATAGCACAACAGGAAACAGTTCGTCTGCGGGCGGAGCACATAAAATCGATTAGTAACGGTTATATGAAAAATAATAAAGTCAATTGTTTGAAAAAATTTAATATATGTACACAGCGGAAGTTTAAAGTTATGATGTGACATTCTGCCGCTACCAAAATGAAGTATAAATAGATCTTCAGATTTTTAATTACATTTATACTGTTTGTATTATATTTTATTTTAATTCAAAGAAGCATTTTCGAATCTTCAAGCTTTTACTAGCAATATCTTTTATAATGTTTGTATTTGAGTCAGAATTTCACAAACGGGCCACTCAAAATCTTTAAAATTTGTTTGTAATTGAAAACCAGTTTTATGGGTGTATTAAAATTAAAAAAATGTTATTTGAAGGATTTTAAAACAAAAATCTGTTACCAATAATATTGATTTCAACGTTTTTTTTGCTTTTTTTTTTTAATTTTTATATACTTTTAATTACATTTTTTTAATTCGAAAGCACGATCCATAAAAATAGTTTTCAATCGAACAAATATTTTTAAGATTTCTGGTGGTTTGTTTAAAATATTCGGAATCGTTCGATAACATGCCTTATCCGTAAATATGTATTATATTTTGTCCTTTATCTTAAAGACGGGAGATCTTTAACACTCACATTTGGATAGCTCAGTGGCCGTAGTCTTTCGTAGTCCTCCTGCCCGGCCGTATCCCAGAGTGTCAAATGGTAGTCCTTATCGTCAACTCCTATGTTACAGGCGTGGTTGTCGAACACTGTGGGTACGTACTCCTCGGGAAACTCGTTCTGTGTGTAGGTTATCAACATGCAGGTTTTGCCCACCATGCCGTCGCCCACGACGGTTACTTTCAGCGGGCGCGGACTCCTCGACATGTTCTCAGTCATTCCCGATTAGGTCTTGGTCTTGGTCTTTGTTGGAGAACTGCAAAGAGGGCAAAATAGAGGCGTCACTTTGGCTGCTGGCTTGACAGTTCGGTTCCCCGAGATTGCGCCATTTGGCGGCAGATGTTGGTGCTCTGTGTTTATCTTGGCGCACCCACACTTTCATCCTTTTTCTGTGGCTGTGGCAACCGGAAATCTGCAGGCCTGGCCCCTAGCTTATTACATTTGAATATTTGCAGCATAAAGCAGAAACGTGTACATTGTATAAGTTAACAATTATTCCAGTATATATGATTTTTAATGAAAAAACTCTTTAATGTTATAGTTACTTGCAAATAATCTCAAACATTTTAATATAAATTACTGAAAAGTATTTTTCAAGTAAAGTAAGAATTCTATTTATTATTATTATTATTTTAAGACTATTGAAAAGCACGGAAATAACATCAATATTTAATATATTTTCTTATTTCAATGGAGGGGATTATCAAAATATATATATAAAAACAAAAGTGCCTATCAAGCTTATAAATAATACAAATTACAAAAAAAAAAACATTTTTTTTTCGTTTTTGGTATCACACTTGAACTTCAAAACTGTTTAATCTAATCGACAGCTGAAATAAAAAAGGCCACACAACGACAAGAAACGAAGCAATTTGAGCTTTTACGAGGGGCCAACTTTGGAATGGACTTCATCAGGCGCAATTGATTCTGCGAAATCTCTAATGGAAATATATGTGCTTTTATGGCTGTCCACGCTTATATAACAATTAAATAAAAGCCTGGCTAAAACTAATAGACTTTCACCATTTGTCGAGGAAAAAAAAAAACAAAAACAACAGAGTAACAAAACCGCATTCGTTTCATAAATTTTTCTTTTTAATTAAAACTGGTTTCGTCGGCTTCCAGTTGACCCAAAACATAAACTAGATTTCCCTACCCAGCCTCCAAAACAAAACGAAATCCAAAATCAAACGACATTTGCCCGATTTACATATGAGAAATGCCGTTAGGTATTCGTATAGTGACTGGGATTCTCGGGGTCTCCGCTTAAGCAGAAAACTCATACGAATTCCAGGAAATATTCACTGTTCGGGCAATATGACTCATCAACGGACACTTGTTGATGTCTCGCGCACTTAATTGCGAATCTGAGTTGTGGCAGCTCTTATTAGAGGAGCTAGGTCACACTTACCTATGTCGGTGACTCATGGGCATGAAAATGCTTCGATCCAACCCACACCTAATTTAATTTTTAAGCCCAGCGAACTGCATCTTAAATTATTCAAAGTTCAAGAAAACAAAAGAGAAAAGAAGCTCAAACCGGTTGCATTGGGACATTCATCAGCATTTTACCGTTCGGCGAGATGGACCGCGAAATCCACTAAAGCCAATTTAGCTCATCTATAGACAAAAATCACAAAAATAAAGGTGATTGCAAGATGATTGCAAAAAAATACCTATAATTACGTTTCCTAAACCTTATCAGTACCTAATCTTTTGTAAAGGTATACAAAATGGAGTCTATAATTTTCAATAAGGTGTAATCTTTATGATTCCATTATAAAAAGGAACAAATTATTATATTTGCCAGACTTATCAGTTCGCAATAAATTGATGACAGTTAATTGATAATGTAAGGGTTAAGTTTTTTAGTAATATTATAAAAAATGTTCAACTTATCGAATAGTTTTTTGCAATAATTCTATTAAAAGTCCAAAAATGTAGCAGATAAGCAGCACCGAGGACTTGGATATAATTATTGTTAATTTCAGCAATTTTAAATGGGGCGCCACATTGACATAGAATTTGTATGAATTTTAAGTTGGAGCAAGCGTGAGTATTTAACATAAAATGCTTTATTGGCACGCGATCTACAGATGTTGAACTTTGACTGGGAGCACTTTGATGCGCGGGTCAACACAATTAAGTCTAATCACTGATGCGAGGGGGTCTTCACTTGGGGTTAAGTGATATTCTCTTTGTATTTCAAGTTTTAGTTTCGTTTTTTTCAGATTCTGCATAAGTTAGAGAAGTGGAATCTTTATTTTGCAAGCATATTCTGAAGAACAGTAAAAGCTTTGTCAATAAAATGTAGTAGTTTATTTGTATTACATTTGATTGATGGAAATTAAAGCCAGCGAAAAAGCTTTCCAGCAAATTGTTTCCCAATTCGCTAGAATGACGTTACCAAAGTTGAATCGGATGAGTTCGTGCCTGCAAAAAGGCAACAAAAATCCACAAATAGAAACGTTTTTTTTTTGGCCAAATTAGTAAACAAACCAAACTGAACAATCGGCCATTAGGTAGCCACTGCCAAAATAATACAAAAAAACACAAACTTGGCCAGGGAGCAACAAGGAAACTCAATAAACAGCACACTTTTGTTTTGGCCTCTTTGGACGAATTTAAAATTATTATAAACAAACAGCTTTGGGTGCTGCTTTAGTGACTACAGAAAAGTGCAAATAATTAAGTCCGAATGCTAACCGAATTTTTTCTATTTTTACAACCAGCTGATTAAGCAAATACCAAGGAACACAATTCGTGAATGAGTGGAAATTTCATTATGTAAACTTGTGGATTAAAAAACAGGTGCGGGAACAATCGAAACATTTCCAGGAAAACCAAGTGGATGCGAATACCCCCCATTTTACCCCACATAACACTGCACCATAACTTATTCAGTTCTATCAGTTTCACAGTGTCGCCCAGCAGCGGAAACTCTTTATCAAGCGATTAGCGCCTGCAACTGAATGTGTATCAAGCTCGGGATGAAATTAATACACATAATAAATTATTTAAACATAATTGCTCTGTTTTTAATGCACTCCCTTGAAATATGAAGTGCACATGCTCTGCAGTCCGTGAACATATTATTCCGGCTCTTTGTTATCGGCCGTCGCTGTTCTTGCGGGCTTGGCTTGGCCTCTTGTAAACTTTTCATATCAAGTTACGAACTCGACGTTCTCGGAAGACGAAAGACTTGCCACATTTCACACTCTCTCTTTCTTTGCATTCTGTAGCGATGATTTCCCAAGATGCAAATGGAATGAAAAGGTCTCAAGCTTTTATTTGACTTGAGCGACACTTCTGCACTATAAACAAGATTCATATGCAATTCAGTTGGGTCACTTCAGTTCAGCCGACAGCTTATCAGCGACTTCTTTAATAAATGGGTGCATCGCTCAATATGTACACTCTCAGTTTTGTCCTCATATATAAAATAATTCATAAATAAATAAGTTACACAAAGGCGTATTGTATTGTCGGTTAGTCAATAAGTGAATTATGCGCACATTCTCAAGAGTGTTAATCATAGGGCTTCAGACTTTGCCAGACTCGAATTTATACAAGAGTATTATAATCTTACAAATGAAGAACAGGAAAAGACGTCAGTCTCTACAATTCTTTGGAAACTATGGTTGTATAGTAATAAGATAATTTCGGTCTTGAGTGTGGAATATAATACAACCTTTAAACAGAGCTTTCCTTAAAAAACACACATTTTTCCAAGAGCAATAAAATTAATCTTCACAGCCAAAACCAGTACGTTTTGGTACTCCAAATCGTTTATATAGGTACATTTCTATATAAAGACCTATTCAAAGTTGAATTCTGCTCTGCTTCTTGTTGCGAAAAATATACGAATCGTTTATGTGTGTGTATTTTTATGGTTTCCCGCATGGGTTTTCGTATTTAATAAGCTGATTAGATAAGATAGATGTCGGTGAATGCGGTGTACATAGGGAATTGGACTTGAAAGAGCAACGGCGATAAGTGGAACCATGGCGAAAACCTATGGTTACCTGGTCTAAAAAAAAAAGAACAACAAATGAAGCGAATCCAGAATCATCAAATGGATTCGGGCAGATTGCAATGGCACGAGCGGCCAATTAGTTAAATTAATTGAGGTTAATGCGGAGTATTTATTGTGCCATAGGTCGGAATGAATTGATTAGCAATATTGTGGCCAATGCGGAGTGGGTGGCGGGCATTGGGATCCACGATTCACGTACTCTGTTTCCTGCGATGATGGCCTTTAAATGGCTGTCCAACCATATAATTGTTTGATAACTAAAAATGGTATCGGACCCATTTGGGTGCATATACTCTCAGTTGAGAATTCGGCTGAGATAACCACCAGAGAAGAAGAGAGCCTCAGAAGAGAGAGATAGAGAGAGGGAGCTGGGATCGTTAGCTGTTTGGCATTCCAGAGATATAGACGGATCGGATCGGATCGGTTGGGAGAAGGCTTAGCGGGGGCGGTGACGTGAGCACCATACAAAGTGACTCAGGTGATAAAGCAAAGATCACGAAGCGTACTCTTCTTTCCACAGATCACCTATGCTAACAATGTTTACACCAAAGATAATTGTTGTTTAAATATACATATATTCACTAAGGCACAACCACAGAGCGCCCACACCATCACAAGGTCACTGGATCTTAATCCCATTCTATCCATTCTATCCGTGTAGTTAAGATATTTAACCAGCCAGCTGCATTTGGGGGTGAACTTAGTGGGGATCGTATGCGTAGTTGATTTTCACAGGCACGTACTTATAGATACGAGGTTTTTGTACCCGTAGTTTTTTCGTATTATTCGCAATCAATCGAACAACACGTCTGGGCGATGACGTGCGACCTGATCGCAGTGTGTAGGAGATTACTCGAACTGGCGAACAGCGAGAGTGTAAAACCGGATAAACAACGACAGCCACAACCGATCGCTCGCGATGTCGACAAACAAGTGAGCGCTAGCCTTAACAACTGCCATAATTTGTGACCGACTCGCAGTACGAGTATCTCACGGATACCCGAAGAGTAGGAGAAGAGAGTCCGCTGGAGCAGCTCTCTTCGCCTTAAGCTCTTGGGTCTTCAGATTGCCTTATCAGCTGGGTTGGGCTGGCTGACTGCTGATAGGGGTGTGCTTCTTGGGCTCTTGAAGGATAATGGGTGGTACAGAAACCAAAACAAGAAGTAAAGCCGCCAGGATTTGCGCTCTTATAGAACACAATAAAGAGTGTCCCGACTATGAAATAACTACAAATCACTGACCTGCTATAAAAAATATAACTTTTCAAGTCGCGCCACCATATATGGTTAATAATTATTAATAAAAAATCAAATTAAATTTAAAGTCATACTTTTTAAATATAATAAAATTGGTATTCATTTGAAGTTTATGCAAGGCTCTAATCTGAAAGCCAGGAAGTTCTAATTTTCAAAAAAGAAGCTCAAAAATTTCGTTTCAAATCGAGAGCATTTATTATTTATTGCATATGACACACATCAATATAAGCTGAGAACTTTTTTATTCTGGTTAGGGTTATTTTTTTAATTAGTCATATAACTTCCCGCATTATCACTCAATACTGGAATTTTTCATACAATTGGTATACTGCTCCTTACTTTCGAGAAAAAAAAAGGATAAACGTGGATAAAAATAAAGAACACTGCAAGTAAATGTTTAAGAAAAATGTTTTACCTTTAAACACCCTACAAACTTATGATTTCATAGAAATGTAGTTTATTTGAAAAAACTACAATAAATAAGGTTGCAAGTATGTACTCCAAATCCGCTTGCGTAATCTCCCGTCCGCCCTGCAACTCGAATGCCTGCCAAGAGCAATTAATCAACAACATTCGCGAGTGCGTGCCGCCGAACTCAGGCTTTATGTCTGTCCGATGTAACGGTAATTAGACCAAAGGCCGACATAGACATACCCATAAGACCAAAAATGTTGCGTTCACTTGGAGTATGTGGCACAGCCGCAAATGATTTCAATTAAGCGACACGTTGATGGAGCATTACATTAATTAGAACTACCACTGCAATGGGCATGTAACTTCCGTACAAGGAATAAAGGTCAAGTGACAAAGGCTTCGACCTCCGAACCAGGCGGTCAGAGCAAAGAGAAGAGCCGGAAAATTATTAATAAATATGAGTATGCAGTAGTGCCAATTAGGGACAGCTTCTTATGTCGACACATGAGCAACATGTGTGCCCCTACAAAAAACAAGAGGACTTCTCGACGATTCTTAGAGGAAGAGGATGGTATCTAAAAGTACGAGCAGGTGCGGCCTCAAGGAGCACCAACAGATACAATTGTATCTGGATCTCAAGGTCGCAGGGTGAAGAGCTCTGCTCCACCATCGACAAAGAATCAAATTCGCCGAGGAAAAGGGCGATTAAGAATAGCACAAGGCGACACCAGATTATATTGCAGTGCGTTCCATTTCCCGTTTCCGGTCGCGTTTTGCCTGGATCGAAGGGGCTGGAGTGCACTGCACGGGTGCTATTTCTGAACAGCACTCATATATTATATCTTATCTGGTGTACCGGGGTCTGCAACAGCAAATCATGAGGGTGGGAGAGCTGGAGTGACAAAAACAAATATTATGAGATCCAATAACAATCGTGGAAAGCTAGAAGTGTTCTTAAATCAAATGCGGTTTACGGCGTGGAATTGCTTTGCTAGTGTTTCATTTCAATCAAACTTTTTCATTACATTTACATTTATGTATTTCTTGTTTAAATTCTTTTAGTTCCCTATTCATTTCAGTAAAAAGACAACTGTTGGAACGATTTTAAAGATGCTACCCTTTTTGTTGTTGTGAAAAATGGAAATTAATTTATGATTTAGCTACAATTTAAAATTAATACTTTTGTTGAACTGGGAGAGCTTTGATTATACTTCTTAATGACTCTTCAAAAAAAATTGATTTTAAAACTTTTTTACAGTGCCAGAAATGAATTTGTTTTTAATTAATATTTAAAATTTCTGTGTCTTATATAAAAAAATACAAACAAACAAAATAAATTCAAATTAATTATTAACTCTTCATAAAATATATTTAAAACAAAAATTAGTTTAAGTTAAAATTCAAAATTTTTGTAAACTTTCCACAGAAATTATTTTTTTTTAATATCTTAACAGTGCCAGCAATGAATATTTTTTTTATAAAACTTAATTATTTCCTTGATTAAAATAAACAAAATAAATAAAAAATGTATTATTGACTCTTGAAAAAATTTATTTAAAACATAATTTAATTGAAATTTAAATCCATAATTATTGTAAACTTTATTTTCCATTGATAATATTTTATTTAAAATCGTTTAACGATGCCAGCAACTAGTATTTTTTTAATAAACCTTTATTTTGTCTTACATAAAAACTTAAAAATAAATTAAAATTAATTTAGTTTTCGTGTCACGACATGAGATGCAAATAAAATAATCGATAACTAAGTTGTGGATGGCAACGCTCACCACTAACGAAACGGGGTGTTCACAACATTCGAGTAAAAGAAAATTAATTAGAAATTTACGAAAATGCCCGAAAGCGACGTGACCAAAATGAAGGTAAGACAAGGGACTATATAATTCAGATGCCCATGAGTATAGCTGACTTTTCCAGGTGGCGGATTTGAAACGTGAGCTGAAGCTACGTGGTCTTCCCTTGAACGGCAATAAGACGGAGCTGCAGGACCGCCTGCAGACCGCTCTGCTGGAGGGAGATATTTCTCTGGAGGATTCGGCCATAGCGGATGCCATTGACGACGACGATGTGTCGCTGACGGACGAGGATGAGCACAAGCTGCTGGGCGACGAGAATGACGATGAGCTCCTGAAGAGTCCGGTTAGTACGCCCACAACCGTGGGCGTTCCTGACCTGCTGGCGGAGGATAAGACGGCAACGGGCTCTGAAGCTGCCCTGCCAGCCAAGAAAATAGTGCTCAAGCGAAACAACTCGCAGCAGTGCACCGGCACGGCGGCCAGCACGGGGACACCGCCGTCCAAGGAGAATGAGGCACCAACTGCAGCTGCGGACGATTCCACCGGAGAGACTCCCACCAAGAAGCACAAGCCCATTGTGGTTGGTCCAAAAACGGAAGATGATAAGCCGTCCGGGGACAAGAAGCTCAACCAGTTGACCGCCCAAGAGCGATTGGAACTGCGGGCCAAAAAGTTCGGCATTACGCCAGTCGCTGCTCCAACGGTGGCCACCACAGCGTCCACAGTGGCCGCAGCCATCAACAAATCCTCAAGCGCCTCCATTATGGCCAACAAGGGCAACAAGGAGACGGAGGAGCAGCAGAAGGAGGCTCTTAAAAGACGCGCCGAACGATTTGGCTGCGTAGTGCCCGATAAAGCACCAAAATCGGTGGTCGATGAAAAGCTACAGAAGCGGAAGGAGCGCTTCGGTGCAGGAGCAGCAGCAGATGCAACGGAAACCACCTCGGCCGCCTCCACATCGGAATCAAAGGACGCCTGGTCAGAGAAGGCACGGGCACGATTGGAAAGATTTAAAACCGCTCCGGCCGCCGCAGCCACCAAATAAGATCACACAAAACTAATTACTTAGGCAAGCAAATACATTTGTAAATCCCTTCTATCATAGGAAGATTATGCATTCATACAACAAGCCGTAAAGCCACCAATGCTTGTAGCAATTAAGGATCAATTCAATAAACATACATCTCAACATGTCCAGACATCTTCAAGGGTTTACATAGTTTTATTGGTTTTTAATTCAGTGACTTAAAAATAACTTGAATCGCGTCTTCGGATTTATTGGTTCTTCTTGTTTTGTTTGGAACGTCAATAATCATAATATTAGTCTGTAAAATATGCGTATATATAAAAGTTATACAAATATGTGGGTGCATTCGTTTGGATGAGCTCTTCGTGTCTTCGATGACAATAATTTTGGTATTGCGGATGAAATAAGGAAAAGCAGCTCATTGGTCATCTGAGGATGTGGTCATGATTGAAGTTTTGATTGGCGCCAAGATCCGAAGCATCATTTTCGGAACCCAATCGGCCGACTTAAAAGTATGTAACCTTAATGTTGCGCCCATCAAGACGGGAACCATCCATTAGCGCTGAAAGCAAAGTTTAGGTAAGTAAACATAACGAATCACTATCCTTGATTATCACCCACCTATAGCCAACTCTGCATCGCGCTCCTTAAAGAATCGCACCACTCCCACATCATTGCCGCGGATTTCAGCAAACTTAACGTCCCCAATCTCACGGAACTTGTCGCGCAACGTCTGCCAGGTGCAGCTCATCGGAACGTTCTTAATGATGATGGTGTCCGACTTTCGGGAACCGCCACCGGCATTGCCCGATCCGACATTAACATTGCCCACATTGCTGCCGCCGCCGAAGAGATCCAACTGGTTGCCCGAGTTGTAGTCGTTGCTGTCCACGCCTCCTCCGTTGCCACCGCCAACTCCGCCAGAGCTGCTGTAGGCATTGTATCCAACATTGCCGGAGACTCCACCACCACCGCTGTAGTTGTTGCCAGAGCTGTAGTTATTGCCACCACCGCTGCCGCCACTGCTGTAGTTGTTCGAAAGGCCCACATTGCTGGCGGTCAGGTTGTCATCGTTGCCCGAGTTGCCTAGATTGAGACCCAGGTTGTTTAGCGACGAAGTCAGCAAGGGGTTGCTCAGATTGCCCCCCTGGCTGCCCAGATTTCCGACCACGGCGGCCAACAGGCTGGGATTGAGATTGTTCAAGTTCAATCCACCGGTGCCAGCATTGTTGCCCAAACTGGGCTTTTGCACCGGGGCCACTGGCGATGGCTGCACCGCTGCATGATTGCCGAACATCACGCCGGTCAGGTTGTTCAACAGATTGGTAGCGTTGCTTACGGCGGTGCTGTTGGCCTGGCTGGCACCCACCGATCCCAACTGGGATCCTTGCTGCGAATTGCCGAGCAGCTGGCCCTGGC